AGAGGAGTATGTGGCAGAGAAAGGAATGAGGTGCACTGGTCCATATAAAATAGCACAGCTGTGTAGACCACGTCAGATCCCATCTCAGGCACACCTGTCGGCACGGAGCTGCCCACTAGCAGGGGATTTTCTGAGTTTCTTGTTTCTGTTCTACTCCCCAACGTTGGTCTCCCCAAGACATGCTTTACAGGCTGGTCTCCGAGGTCCCATCCTGGGTCCCATCAGCAGCTGGCCAACCTCTGACAGCTTGGTCAAGAACAAGGCGCGGTCAGTTCACACCAGTGTCCTCCGAGACACAGCCCAGCAAATGTTTTAAACACCGAACAAATGAAATTTCAAAGGGACAGCAAAATAGTTTCGGGACTATGAAAAATAATGTATAGATTGCATGTGAGTGAATAAGACATAAAAAACAGACCTCATGTTCACCTGCCCGACAGGATAGCCTGGATATTACAGGTGTGCCAGTAGGTGGAGTTCGAGGAAGCAAGGATAGTAACCAAAAGTAAGCGTGTTCTGAACACATGCCGGGAAGTGGACATAAGGGTCACCTGGACGGCTCAGTTGGGGAAGCATGTGACTCTTGATCTCAGGGTTGTGAGTTCGAGCCCCACGTTGGGGGTAGAGGTCACTTAAAAAATTAAAATTTAAAATTAAAAAAAAGGGGGGCACCTGGGTGGCTCAGTGGTTGAGCGTCTGCCTTCGGCTCAGGTCGTAATCCTGGGGTCCTGGGATCGAGTCCTGCATCGGGCTCCCCAAAGGGAGCCTGCTTCTCCCTCTGTGTCTCTGCCTCTCTCTTTGTGTCTCTCATGAATAAATAAATAAAATCTTTAAATAGAATTTAAAAAACAAATGATAATAAAAATTTAAAAAGAAAAGAATTCTAGATGGATGCCGTGTGGCACCAAAACAACAGAGTGACTACTTCAGAGGCATCTCAGGGGCCCCAGGGATGAAACGTTCCCAACACTGTCTGTGGAACTGAAGAAACAGTAGAAATATTAGGGTCAGATACCGAAACCTTTTGAGAGTACGTTACTGAGAAGGTGGAAGCCCAGTGCTGATGAACCCCACGGTGAAAGTGTTCGCCTTGTCAACGCTGTGAGCAGCGGAGGGCTGGACGCACCCGGCACTGAGCACTAGAGGAGGGCACACTCACCGTGACCCGTGGACGTAAGGACGGGCCGCCTGGATGAGAGATTACACCCTCACCCTGCATGCAGGAGTCTGAGACTCAGGTCCACGTGAACACGCTCCGTGATACGCCCATTTGCTGACAGGCCACTGGTGACTACATGTTCCTACTCCCGAGAGTCGACTGTGAGCTCCCAGAGCTACTGCTCCATTGAACTTCTCAACTCATCTTTACCTGGCGTGGAGGACGTCGTGTGAGTCACCTGCCTAAAAAGAGAGAAGTACCCCCCTCTGTTCCCAACATCTCCACCGGTAAGGATGTGCCCTCACCAGCTCTGTGTGATGGGGACCAATCGCAGCCCTCCACGTGGGGCAGAGGGAGATCTCCATGGCATCGGGTCAGAGCCCACAGCACCCAGGTGTGACCCAGGCATCTGCACAAACCTTTCCTGACTTTCCCGACCCCCAACCCTGCTCAACCCTGCCCGACTGGCTCTGCTGTTCAGTTGACGTAAGAAGGGGTCATGGATACAAAGCGGCCTGCTTGACACGTCTCGGGAGAGGATAAATAAGACTAGATCCAAAACAATGACCGTGCGTGGTGTGCACACAGGGGACGGTGAGGTAGCCCCGAAGAACCGTGTGCAGAAAAACTTTTCCTTCCGTTTCACATTTTCCTCCTTTTGGAACGAACACCTATAATTTTTAGCAATAACCCAAGTGTTAATTAATTCACTGTCGACTGTTTGCTGAGGCTTCAAAGCACAAACATGGGATAAAAATCTCACTGCAGCAGAAGAAAGAAGGTGCAGATAAAAATGTGCTGATTGGGTATCCGAGAAAACCCAGCACAGAACTCGGAGTCACACCCAAATCTGTATTTCCGTTTGTGTCTCACTTGGTTCAAATCCCTGCAGACCGTGTATTTGCAAATGACGGATGAGGGTGAAATGCAACGGGTGCAAGATGCAAAGCAGATTCTTCAAAGAAATGTAGCGATGAGTCCCCCTGCAGGTGCCTGCACCCTTGGGCTCGGACGTGTGTGCTCGAAGTGCCCCCTGCCAACAGACCCATAGGGCTTCTGGCAGCCCGGCAGCACTCACCAAAGAAAGAGCTGGGAAGCAGTGCAGATCCGGGGTGGGGTTTCCTTCCACTTTAATCCTCAGGACCGGGAGGATTTTTGAGTTCAGAGTTCTGGTCTTCATCAAAGGGGATCAGCGATGGGCTGATGGGAGCCAGTGCTGGGAGTCAGAGCGCTGATTTGTTGTGCACGGTTTTCTACAGCAGCCGTCTGGGTACCGTCACAGGCTGCTGGCTGCTGGGATCAGATCCGGGAACAAGGGAGCCAGACTCGAAAATCCAGAGAGGTCTTCAGGGGGAGGTCCTCGAATATAGAACCCATTTCCCTCTACTCGCGCCAATACTTGTGACACCAGACCTGTGGGGTTTCCACACCAGCGAAGTCTTCACTTCCCAGGAGACACCAGCTCCGTGTCCTACGATTCACTTCAGCTCTGGCTCTAACCACCCGGAGGTGGCACAGTCCCACAAGATGCCCCACTTCAGATGCCAGTCCCCCGCCCGGGGCGTCACCTGTGCTCCCCACCAACCAGCTATACATCAGGAGTTTCCGAGACCCCTTCTGTGGGTCTGATGATATGCTGAAACAGCTCACAGAACTCAGGAAATCATTTCACTTTCTATTACCAGTTTATTACAAAGGATGTTTTAAAGGATACAGATAAAGAGGTACCTAGGGTGAGGTCTGAGGGGAGTCCCCTTGGAATTTGGGATGCGCCACCACCACCCCAGCAACACATGGATGCATTTTTGTTCTTCAGCTCAGAAACTCTCCAAACCCTGATATATGGGGCTTTCACAAGGGTTCCACTACTTAGGCGTGCTCCATGAAATCACGGGGGGTTGGTGATGGGCTCCACCGCCAGCCGTCTCCCCTCCCTGGAGGTCAGAGGTGGGGCTGATCTGTCCCACCTTCTGTTCACGTGAGTGGTGCCCACGACCACGGAAAGACCAGGAAAGGGCAGTCAGGGGATTAGGATGTGAAAGCATCCAGCCCAATCCAGGAAGACTTCAGCTCCTGGGATCCCAGCACCCTGGATGGAGGACTCCACCCGACTTCCCAGGCCCTGACAGTGTGGCTGGATGGGCAGTGCCAGGGTGGCCACAGCTTGGGGTGGCTCCCTGGTCCTCTACACACCTTCCTGCTCCTGCTCCTTCCCATAGCAGCCAGCAGCCACCACCAGCCACCTTTCTGGGGTGCTGGCTGAACAGGGAACCCCTGAACCAGGCACTGACCTGCAGAGCTCAGGGTGGGGTGCAGAATCGGGAAGTCTATGTCTCACAAACCGAGTGACACAAAACCCCCTTCCCCAGGCTTGGGACAAGAGCTGGCTGGAGACAGCCCAGCCCCCACAGCCTGCTTCCCCTTCCCACCTCCCCAAGCCCCCAGTGCCCTCCACCACCCACTGAGGCTCCTCTCCAGCCTCCCATCCTGGAGAAAACACGGAGCTCTTAGGGCCTCGGGATTTTGGTTTCTCTGGACTAATAGACTTATTTTTAGAGCAGCATTGAGAGAAAACAGAACAGCAAGTACAGCAAGTTCCCATGTATGCCCCCCACCCCCTAGACAGTTTCCCCAAGCCCTGAAGTGGTGTCAGTGCCGTGCACTTTGACAATGGATGCACCAGCACTGGCCTGTGTGCTTCAGGCAAATGTATAATGACGTCACCATGTGGGGCAAAACATTTCCCTGCCTGAGTCCTCTGTTTTCTGCAGATTCGACCTCCCCCCCAACCGCCCCCCCCACCCGGCCTTGGGATTTAATGTAAGCAGCAAAGTGAAAAGAGAACTAACAAACCCAGCAGAACTATTTATAAGCAGTCTCCAGGGCCCCTGGCGGCCCCGGGGGTGGATGCCAGTCTCTCTCTGGGTTTTGTCCCGCTGGAAGCAGCCTCTCCAGGTCCTGGCTCTCTTCCTCTCCCTGTAAACCCAGAGCCATCTAACACGGCACTCTGCACTGCGGCCTGCCCTCCTGCTGCTTCTGCACGTTCTCATCCTTCTGGAAGGCCAGGCTGAGCTAGGATTAGTGGGTACAAGAGTGCAGCCAGGGGGCAGGAGCTGTAGGGCTCAGTAGGGAGAGCATGTGACTCTTGATCTCAGGGTTGTGAGCTTGAGCCCCAGTTCAGACACGGAGCCTACTTGGATGGATGGATGGATGGATGGATGGATGGATGGATGGATGGATGGGATGGATAGATAGATAGATAGATAGATAGATAGATAGATAGATAGATAGATAGATGGAAGGGCACCTGGGTGACTCAGATAGTTGGGCATCTGCCTTTAGCTCAGGTCATGATCTCCAGGTCCTGGAATCGAGTCCCATGTTTGGCTCCAGGCTCAGTGGGGAGTCTGCTTCTCCTCCCTCTTCATCTCCTCTTGCTCATACTTTCTCTCTGTCTCAAATGAATAAATAATTTTTTTAAAAAAAGATACATAGATATATACATAGCTACATACATAGACAGATAGACCGATGCACACATGCACACATGCAGCCAGGCTGTGATGGGCCTCAGCTCCCCCTCCGAGTTTCCAGGCACCTCCACACCTGCAGCAGGAAGCTTCCAGCCTGCCCCCACCCCTGCCCTGGCCCTGTCACAGCCCTACAGAGCTGTGGAAGCAGGGAAGCAGGGGAAGAGGGGCCCCTTCCCTCAGGAAGAAAGCATTGGGAGCCGCTCCGGGCACCCCCCCCCCAGCCCCTCGCACTGCTGTGCCAGAAGCTATCAGAGGTCAGGAAACCAGGAGTTTGTTCTGATGCTCACCTCTGCTTCATCCTCTGACAGGTGCTGGCATCGACGGGGTGGAAGAGATCAAGCGGCATCCTTTCTTTGTGACCATAGACTGGAATGTGAGTTGCACAGTGCCCACTGCCCTGCATGATGGGGACGTGAGGTGGAGGGTGCACCAGCTTGGTACAGACCAGAGGTGACCGCAGCCCTGTCACCTGGAGTGGGGGCCTGCCTCGGGAGCCCTCTGAACAGGCTGGTATTTTATAGGCACAGACCAGGGACCCCCTTCCTGCAGTGCCAGGCCGAAAATCCCTTTAGCACTTGGCCCTTTGGAGACAGGTTGAGATGACCCTGCCGCTACTCCCACCTGCTGAGGACAGAGCAGATATCACCTTCCACCCAGTAACAGGCTGCAGGAGCCCTCAGGGCACCGGGTCACTGGGCTGCCGGTTCTCTGGGTCTCTGGGCCCCTGGGCCCCTGGGCCCCTGTGTCTACAGGTTGCTGGGTCTCTGGGCTCTTGGGCCCCTGTGAGTCTCCAGGCTGCTGAGCTGCTGGGTCTCTGGGCCCTTGGGCCCCTGTGGGTCTCCAGACTGGGGAGCTGCTGGGTCTTGGGGTCTCTAGGTTCCTGGGCCCTATGAGTCTCCAGGCTGCTGGGCTGCTGGGTCTCTGAGTCCCTGTGGGTCTCCAAGCTGCTGGGTCTCTGCGTCTCTGAGTCCCTGTGGGTCTCCAGGTTGCCAGGCTGCTGGGTTTCTGGGTCTCTGAGTCCCTGTGGGTCTCCAGGCTGCTGGGCTGCTGGGTTTCTGGGCTCTGGGTCTCTGGGCCCCTGGGCCACTCTGGCTCTCCAGGCTGCTGAGCTGCTGGGTCTCTGGGTCTCTGAGTCCCTGTGGTTCTCCAGGCTGCTGAGCTGCTGGGTCTCTGGGTCTCTGAGTCCCTGTGGCTCTCCAGGCTGCTGGGTCTCTGGATCTCTGAGTCCCTGGGCCCCTGTGGGTGTCCAGGCTGCTGGGTTTCTGGGTCTCTGGGCCCCTGCGGGTCTCCAGGTTGCTGGGTCTCTGGGTCTCTGGGCTTCTGGGCCCCTGTGAGTCTCCAGGCTGCTGAGCTGCTGGGTCTCTGGGTCTTTGAGTCTCTGAGTCCCTGTGGGTCTCCAAGCTGCTGGGTCTCTGGGTCTCTGGGCCCCTGTGGATCACCAGGCTGCTGGGTCACTGGATCTTCAGGCCACCGGGCCCCACTGCACAGTGCTCTTTAGTGCTGAACCTCTGGCATCTCGAATTCCGTACTGCTTTCGCAGTCTCTCTTTTGGGGCTCAGGCCCACACAGCTACCCCTTCTTGCAGAGTCATTAAAGAAAAAAAATCCAACTGTTAAAGACAAAGTTATTGGTGACACTTGTTAGTGACATAAGGAAGACTTATGTCGGGATGAGTTCAGGGACCATGGGGACAGGGTCTGCAGTGGGAGAGAGATGGGGCTCAACTCTGGCTAGCTGGGGCGGTGGGATTTATAGCCAGGGGGCAGATGGGGGGCCATGGATGGAAGGCCACCGGGAGGAAACACAGTGGGGAGGGGCTCTGGCTGAACCGACCCCCCCGGACTTCTGCTGTACACAGGCCTGATGCCCAGATGCCACCTGGAGGGAGGGGCCCATCAGACATAGGCCTCTGGCTCCAGTTCTCCAGGTGGTTGCCACGATGCCGCTTGGAGCTGGATGCTGGCAGAGGAGTTCCGGACCCTCACCCCGACCAGCCTCTCGGAGCCGCCTCCTAACCGGTCGGCTTGGGGACGGTGCCTCTGAGCGGCCACGGCTGTGCTTTGTGTGTAACAAAGGCGTCCCCCGTGGATGCCAGTGTCTTCTGGTCCTTTCCTTCGGCAGGCACATTCCGAGGTTTCTTTTCTGGAGCTCACAAATTAACCTCGGGGGATCTTAACAGTATATGAAATACATATATTTATATATGAATGTCCCCTGCAGAACAGAGGCCATCGGCTTCTGTTATTTTCTGTCACCTGAGCAAGTTCCAGCAGCAGGTGGCTCCGTGGCCAACCGCCCCCGGCCCCCCGCGGTTGTTACCTCCGAGAAGGTGCTGACATCAGTGCGGTAGGGGACCAGCTGTTCCCGGACCTTCTGACCTTTCCCGACCTCCCTTCTCCTCCTGTGAAAGTGGACCAGCAGGGAGAGCACGAGCTTCCTTAAAACCCCCTTCTGCCATTCCGATTATGGAGCTTTTATGAGGTTTGGTTTCTTTTCAACGGCGAGACGAGAGAAGCCCTCGAGATGCTGGCACACCTGTGACCTCCCCGCCAGGTACACAGTCCTCGTTAAAGGGCCCAGTCGACATCAGCTTGCATTTAGAAAAGTGGAAACAAAGACATCAAAGCCACGACCTGCCTGTGAAATCTCTTCTCCCTTCGCTTACTGAGATGTGAGCTTATAAGGAGCCCGGTCACCCTCAACTCGCACACAGGCCCCTAAAGATCTTTGTCGGTGGATCATTCACGAGTCCCACCCAGCACAGAAGCTCTGCTGTTTGTGTGTGGTGATGAGGCTTCAGGCTGTGTGCTAGCCCCAGAGGCCAGCGCCACACCAAGGGCAGGAGCCCCACAAGCTGGGGCACAGTCCCCTCTGCCAGATGTTGTCCCTTCCGGGCACAGGCACCAGAGCAGAGCTGCATACCCCCTTCTCTTATTATGCACTGTTGCACAGACTTGGCCACGCTGTTGACCACGTTTCAGACACCCAGGATGTGGGGACAGAGCTGGCCGTGACACCCCGGGCTTTGCCACGGGGTCCAGAGAGAGAGGCAGGAAGGGGAGGACATGCACGGAGTCATGGAGAGAAGGCTGCACTGTGAAGAGCACCACGGAGGGGAGGAGGCAGGGAACCGGAGCTGTGCCCTCCACGCCAGCCTCTCAGGGCCCTTCTGCGGAGCACATCGGCCCACATGTCCCTAAGCACTCCTGAGGTCTTCTCTGAAAAGCCTGTCCACCAAGCCACCCTTCCAATACTGCCGCTCCTCACCCAGTGCCCTGGCCCCCTGACCTTCCTCCATCCCTGGCTCCTCATCACCTCCCAGTGCATCATGTCGCTCAGTCCCTCCCGCCCCGGATGGAAGCCCCAAAAGCTCAGGAGTCACTGCCAATGTTGCCTCTGAGACAGGCCAAGGCAGAGGAGGCACTCAATGAATAGTGGGTGAGCGAGGGAGCAGGGAGCAGGCGGGAGAGGCTTTCGAGGCAGGAACACCACAGCCCCTGCCTACACCGACATGAAAACAGGAGAACTGCATCGCTGGGGCAGAGTAGGGGAGCTGGCCGCGTGGTGTGGGAGATCTGAGGGCTGCAGCTGAGAGGGAGGGAGGCCCGGCCACACGGCTCCAGGGACCTCTCGACACAGCCACCTGGAGCAAGAGGAGCTGCTGGCAAGTGCTGCAGACAGATGCTTCTCTCAGCCAAGACAGGGCACCCCTGAAGGAGTGGCCGTGCACAGGGGAGCCAAGACAACTTTATGAAACGCCTCGAACTTTCATAGCACGATGATGACCTTGAGTGTGCTATGCAGGTTGAGCTCGTGTGCATCCCAGAAAGCCCAGGTCCGCGTGAGCTCTGAGCAGAGGCCGGCTTCTTTCTGCAGCGTTAGGAGCCGCGCCCGGTGAGAGTCCAGCCACGATACCGGCCCCGGTGCGTACGGCTCATCTTGTCTCCACACATGGGGCCAGGTCCCTGCAGGGCAAACGTGGTCGTGGGATTTCTGCACCAAGAATGTGGCGTTCTGCTTTATTTCAAAGTGATTGGGACTAAAACGGAGGATGGGAAGTTTCTCTTGTTGCTTTTAGCATTTTGTTTCATTTTGCTTCTGAGCGAGGCCCTTCGGATTCATGGGGACCAAGCATATGTGCTGTCACTTCCGTATTTGCCCTAGGCTGACGAGGGAGGGACAGAGGGATGGATGGATCGCACTCCATCCCAGGCCCTGAATGAAAGCAGCCAGTCAGTCGTTAAGGGAGAGGAGCTCTGAGTCACCACTTTTGTGCAAATTCATGTATTTCATAAATGATACTTGGCTCTTGGCCGTGTCCAGGTGAGCGAGCAGGGTGTCTGCACTATAGCAATGGAAAGACACAGTTGTCCCCAAGCTGCTCATCATCCGACGGCTGCACGATCGTGTCCCGTCCAGCCACAGAAGAGGTGTACCGTGGAGGCGTCCCGTCGGAGAGAGGACCGCCGCAGAGAACGCGGGCAGGCCCTGACATCTGGGGGGGAGATGCAACTAGCCAAGCCCTCCTGGGGACCACAGCCATCTCGCAGCTGCCAGGGGCCTCCCGGGGAGCGAGATGAGCGGCCCCCATCGCCACCCTCCCTCCCCACCCTCGAGCCTTGAGTCTTGGTGTCCAGCGTGGCTCCCAGTCGCCCACCTGGCAAGTGGCAGTCTGAGAAAGCAGACACGAACATGCGAGGCATCTGGGGAGTAATGTTACTAAGTCTGTGTCCAGACGTGCCCGTTCTGTTTCGGCAGCTTAGATAAGCAAACCACAGCAGGGCAGCGTTTGCAAAAACTCTGACTACCAGGAGGCATTCCCTCTGCCCGGCAGAGGCTCGTGAGGACGACGCGGAGCCACTTCCCTGACCCGCCTGAACCCAGGGCCTGCCTCAGGATCCGCCCTGGAAAGTGCAAGGGTATTTATTCCACTTTCTGCTTCTCTCTGTGATCTGAAACTGCCAGAAGCAATTTTCAGGTGACCTGCTGGAGCGGAAGAAGTCCACCCACGGTGCAGGTGGGGCCACTGCCCCAGACCGTCCTGCTCTACTGTTCACCTGTCTGCAAAGCCGAACAGGTGAACTTCTGCTGCGGAGCGGACTTCATGAAAGCTGCTCTGTCTCACGAGACAAATGAAACATGACAGCCCCCAAGTCCTGCACCTACACCACGCAAACTGCCCCATTGCTGCATGGAAGTTCCACACCGCAGGCCCCGAGGAAGACACGCAGCGTGGCCTGGCACCCCACTGCCCTCCGACACCTGCTGACCAGCCTCCGGTTTCCTGGCTGAGCCTGGGGCCCTCACCGTAGCTGTTCGGAACCCGATATCGCGACTACTTTTATGAATGCTGGCAGCTTGTGCTGGTGTCGCTTTGTTTGCATTTGTGACCCTTCCAAGGGTACCAGCAGTGGTCACTCTGCGGTGAGAGGGTCTCCCGTGAGAAACCAAGGCATGGGGCAGGAAGAAGAGAGCCCAGGGCCCTTGGGCTAACTGGCAGCGTGACCCAAAGTCCCCACCTTGCCGGACATGTGACCAGAAGTTGCAGACGGAAGTCTTCTCGCCCACAAGACTGTGCAGAGGGGAGTTTAGGGGTTCGGTTCCCAGGAGCGGTTGGCTACTGGCCAGCATCTCGGGGCCTGTGTCAGAGGGTGAGGGGGCTCCTCCCACTGCCTGCTAGAAAGATTTCTATCAGTTTATTCCCACATTAAATACACCAGCAGAGCTTCTCCTTTCAAGGAGCCCGATAGGACTCTTTGTTCAATGAATAACCGCCTCTCAGTTCAGCAGTTTTATAAATACAGATACTTTGGCTGGAACTGCTTTCAGCGAGGGCTAAGCTGTGTAGACAGAGTCCTGCTGCGTGGACCATGGACCCATCAGATCCCCCAGGGGTGGGGTGGGGGAACCTGGAGCCATTTGATTTCTCCCTGTTACCCCTGCCAGGCTGGCATCAATTCCACATTATTTCTGTGTTGCTATTTCAGGAATAATCTATAACTCGCTGTGTGCCCTTTCCTAATTGGAGAATGTTAATTTTGAGATGCCTGGAGCCAGAGCTGCCTGCAGAAAGCAGATGTTAGGTCTGTGACCCCAGGCTAGAAGCAGCTTCCTATCACATTACCCCGTCACCACTCTCACTGTGCCCCCCGGTTCTCCCCTTCATCACCGGAAGGTCGTTTAGGTATAAATAGCCCTGGTGCACCTGCCCAGAGCCTCCCGGCATGACGTGCGAATCCATTCCCATGTGGCTGCGACTTGTTGTGTCATCCTAAGATCCCGGGACGGCTGAGGTGATTTAAAGCGATGCCCGGTGAATTTGATCATGAGACCCCCATTCCCTTTCTGTCAGTGTGGGATGGACTGTTCCAGAGGTTCAGAGAGGGGAATCTAGGTCAGGATTATAATGCATCTCGTCAAGCTTAAGACCTACACAGAACGTGGCTGCCAATCACTCTCAATTTAACCCTGTGTACTGCCGCTTACATTCCAAAATGAGAAGCACGAGTATCTTTGCCCTGAAACCCCAAACCCACTCCTAGGTTTGAACACAGGGAAAGAAAAGCATGTGTAATAGTAACACATATTAGCACACATTAGCCCAAAGTTTACCCAGTTATAGGAAGAAACTGACCGACCTTTAAGACTGCATCAGGAACCATCCAGAGCACAGAGGGCACCTGGGACCTTACGCAGCCCTTTGCTACCTGCTCGGAACCAGAATGAAACCACAGCCTCCTCGGGGACCGGGAGGAACGGTGGTGTTCTGGGGCTGCCCTTGCACAGGCTATGCTCACAGGTGGACCGAGAACAGGGATGAGTGTTCCGGGGGCTGAGGTGCCCTCGAGGGAGCCTGCCCACCAGCCAGCCCTCGGTGGGCTCTCTCTCCCATGCTCTCCCTTCTGGTCAGTTAGGATTTCCTTAATGAAGCACAGGCTTACAGAGGAGGTTCGAAGGCCTAAGGAAAACTAGACATACATGCTATAATTGTGCTGCTGAGCAATGGCTGGGTTCTGTGACCAGTTTTGGGGGCACACACTGGGCTGGGTGTGCATTAGGAGGGAGGAATTGGGAATCTGAACCAGGCAGGCCAGCCTGGGGGTCCTGGGGTGGAGGAAGCCAGGAGGTACCACATCCTCTGCTCCCTGAGTTATTGCTAAATACTGGAGCTAAAGGGCGGCAGTCCTCTCCACCCAAATGATGTGCACAGCAGCACCCCTGCTAGGTGACAGATGCCATTCTGATGAATTCCTTTCCCTTACGTATAAAGACTTGGAAAATGGGAGCCTTGTCTCCCCACAAGGTCAGCCTTCGGGCCTGGGCCGCTGTGTGGCTATTGGGGGTGAGGCAGGCGAAAGACTGGGGTAAAGCACGTGGTCCTGAGAGTCAGTGTGGTCCGAGGAGGCGCCTGTGCTTTCTTGGTCCACTTGGATTCTCAAAAGCCTTGGTATCCTCCCACCATGGCAGGGGGGTGGGGGGGATGGCAGGACGAGCAGCAGAGCTGTGCAGGTTTCTGCAGGGATGGGAAGGGGGTTTGAAAAAGTGCCAGTGGCCTTGACGACACAGCCCTGCTTCTCATTGGAGCTGGTGTGGTTACACTGTTGGTGGTCGGTCGGAAGTGAGCCTGCAGGGTGTCCCCAGCAGCCTGGAATCTACCCCCTGGGGGCCCGCACATGCACACGGTCCTGACCGCAGGCGCCTCCAGGTGCTGCTTGGTGTTCCATCGTAGAGCAAAACCGCTTCTGTTGAAAAGCCCTGGGTTCTGGGGATGTTTTATCTGCAGGTTTGAGGCTGGGAGCAGGTCTCGGCCTCCTGCTTCCAGGGGTCCCTGTGTCAGGGGAGCTGCAGGGAGAAGAGCAGCTGAAATGTATGACCTCCAGCCCCACATGCAAACGGCTCGCCTCTCACTGCTCATGTGGGTTAAGTGACAGCCAGTTCTGTGTGCCTGTAAATAAACCCCCCTGTTCCTAAAGCAGGAGCCTGGCTTAGTTGGGATTCCCCTTCTCCTCTCCCTCCGGCTCCCTCCCCTCCCCACTAGCTTCCTCCCTAACCTGTCGCCCACCTGCAAGAGAACACATGCCTGACCAGGGAGAGGATGTGAGTTTTCCTTGAGCAGGACAGGTATTGATTTAATAACCCAGCTCAAATACCGCCGGAGAATCCCTGTTGCGAGCAGAAAGGGTCTGAGCCCTGCAGGGCTGCGCCTCGGCCATCGGTCTCAGTAACCGCTAACATTTTAATAAGGAAGCACACTTTGCTTGGCCTTATTAGATTTCCTCCGACAAGTGCACACATCACGGAAGTTTATTCCCACCCCAGAGTGCGTCACCGCGGAAAGTAACATCCTTCTATTTCTGGAAAGAGCTTACGAAGTAAATCAATTCCTAATGAAATCTATTCACCCAGGGCAGGAAATGACCAGATAATCCAGGGCGGAGTCAACGCGTTCGTTTTCCTCCGGCGGCTCCCAGATGCACATCCCGAGCTCTGCTCTGCCCTGTGCTGGCCCAGCTCCTGCTCGCAAACCGGGGGCGCCTGGTGGTCAGCAGCCATGCCGGCCTCTGCCCCCCGCCTCCCTGATCCCAGACACAGTGGTTGTTCTATCAGCCGCGCCTGGCAGTTTCTGTGGCTGCCGTGGCTTCTGGAAGGGTGTGCTCTGGGCAGGGATAGGGCACCGCGCCCTCCCACCCCGTGAGTGCTGCTGTAAGGGGAAAAGCAGGTCCTCTTCCTGCTGACCCTCACTCGCTCCTGACCTTGCACCACTCACCCAACCTGCCTTTGCCTGGGTTCCCTCATCTGTAAAGTCAAGGTGATAAAATCTGCTTTTCTGTGTCATGGAGAGATTTAGAGCAGATCCGGACGGAGGTCACTGCGTTTGTTTTCTGAGCCACGAGGGTCCCTGGCTGCAGACCTACAGACATAGAAGAGTCAAGAAAGGGCCTGGGCAAAACTGGGAAAACTCGTGCTACATGGTTGCAGCCAGACTCCCCTCCTGGTGTCCAGGCCCTGGGTGTGCCGACCTGCCAGGTTCTCAGCACGCCGGCCAGTGCCGTGACTCCGCTCCCAGGGCACGCCGACTGACCAGGACTGGGACGTTCTGAAGTCTACCCCGCAGATGCCCCCTCAGCCTCAGCCAGGAGCAGCTGCCTTGAAGCCCCCCGATGCCTCTCCATCCCAGGGCTCACCTCCCAGGCTGGCCCCACTTTCCCCTCCTCCCCCCGCTTGCTTCTTCCCCATCGGCAGCTTTACCCAGGCCGGATTCCAGACTGCATCGTTCCCATAGTTGAATCTCCCAAAAAAAACAAATTATTGATTTGCCTGAGAGCACTGAAGACCACGCGATCAGGTTTAGACCACATTTTCAAGGAAGCCAGCGTCAGAGTGAAGCAGTAAGGGGCGTGGATTTTCTGGCTCCGTGACTCAAGGTCAGGGCCAGATGTGGCCATTCTGGAGAAGGGCCGATCCTCCTCGGGATTCAGGCATTCTCAGCAGCCCATCAAGGCACACAAATGCATGTAAAGGAACACAAAAGCCCAACTCTGCCCACTTGAGCAGAGGGATCTGGGGATATCAAATCTGGGGTGCCCAAGGAAAGTACCGCGGTCCCTGGTCACAGGCTCTGGGATGCGTGTGCACAGGAGGGACCTGGTTCGATTCTAGCAGGGGGCTTTCCCAGCGTTCCCCACGTGCCAGGCCCACAGTGGCCAGGGCAGGGGAGGGTGCCAAGCAGCAGGGGCCCCTCCCTGCTGTTACCTGGGGTGGGCTAAGACATTACTGTCCAGCCAGATTGGACTTGAAGAGAAAAATTCAAAAAGAAAAGTTGTGCCCCCCCAAAAAAGGCTTAAAACTTCACGTTCCCCTAAATGGAGATTACTTAGCATGTGTCCAGACCCTCATACCTTCAATTGCGGCCCTTATAGGATGTAATTATATCATATATTGTACATAATATCAACACGTGACTTGCTGGATTCCACTCGTATTCACGTATACGTCAGAGTGTGCAGAGGGGCTGGCAGCAGGTGAAAACCGGGGCGGAGCGTTTGAAGCATGTCTTCCCCTCCCCAACATCAGGGTCTGCTGCTCTATGGCATGTTTCAAGGTGTCTATAGCTCCTCACTGTCCCGTCCTGCTTTCCCTGCAGAAGCTGTACAGGAAGGAGATCAAGCCGCCGTTCAAGCCAGCAGTGGGCAGGCCAGAGGACACCTTCCACTTCGACCCCGAGTTCACAGCACGGACGCCCACAGGTGTGTGCCCTCGTGAGTGCATGCAGACCCAGAGTGCTGGCCAGTTGTGGGTCCTCCTCCTGGGTCAGTTAGGGAGAGTGACTTAGGAGCCAGCAGATCTCAGGTTCAGGAAAGCTTCCTTGGAGAAAACTGGTTGGTTCTGTTTGACTTTCTTGTTTTCTGGTCCACCATGGAGGTTTAAGTGATAGAACCAGTTATCGGTCATCCCTCCTCCCTCGCTGCCACCCCAGCAGCATCTGGTTTGGAAATTATCTAGGAGTTCCGTAGAGTCCCCCTCGCCGGCTGCCTCTCATTCTGAGCTGCCAATCCAGGGACCGCTTCTTTCAGGCAGGCACAGAAGAGAACCTCAAGACAATGAAAATCTCTCATGTATCTAGAGGGTTCTGTGGGAGGAGGAAGGCAAAGCCCATAGCTGTGTGAACCATAGATCTTATTCATGCAAACCCCACACACCTGTCAGAAAAGCTGTGTCAGCTACTGGACATCCCCACAGCACACGACACGTATACAACCCTTTCATGAAGATCAACAGTCACTCTTGACTTGAAGAGTCAGAGCTCGTCAGTCCCTCTAGAAGTTCTCATTTTGTGACATTAATGAGTTAATATTAATTTTTTTGAGGTATGGGGATTGTCTTGGTCTGCCCAGGCTGCCCTGATGGGCACCTTGATCAACAGACATTTATTTTGATTCCTGGTGAGAGCTTTCTTCGTGGCTTGCAGACGGCCACCTTCTGTGTGTCCTCACCCGGCCTCATTCTACTCACGAGGAGGAAAAGAGAGATCCCTGCTCGCTCTCTCTTCTTATAAGGACACCAACGCTCTTGGAGCAGATCTCATGACCTCATTTCACCTTAATTACTTCCCGAAAGACCCCATCTCCAAAGACAGTCACATGGAAGGTTAGGGCTTCAAACTATGAATTTTGGGGGAACATGGTCCAGTCCACACAGTGGCGTATCTGTTACATAATGGTGTTACGTGGAAAAGAAAAAAAAAAGGAAGAAATCCCTTGTCTATGGGGATTCTTCTTAACTTTTGAATCTGAAACTTTCTATGATTTTTATGGATAATCGTGAAACAGAGATGGTCAAATACAATATACTATGTGGAGAAACTTGGAACAGAGAATCCACTTTATTCCCTTTAAGTTAGGCGGTTGGCGCTGGGAGATAAATTCCCACCATGCTAGACTGGAAAAGCTTCATTAAAACCCAGAAGGCTGCAGCACAGAGTAGTTTTTAGAATCTGAAAACCATGTGCCTCCAGACAGCAGAGACGGAAGCGCGGTGGGCGCCAAGCTGCTCCAGACCCGGGGCTCCGGCTCCCCGGCTTGCTTCCCACTCTCTGCCTTTCTCCTGCACAGAATTGCAGCTTTGAGGTCTTTCTGCTCCTGAAAAGCCCCCATGCTACACCTGCTGCCCTGGAGGTCTCTACAGAGCACAACGGATACATCCACGTTGAATGATCTTCAACCCCCAGGGCGCTTTGGCGTCCTCCTTAAGGCTTTAGATTTAAGACTTTGAGCTCAGCCCAAAGAATTAGCCAGAGCCCTGCAAATGGTAAAGGCAGAGCATATAGCTCAAGAGGCTCATTTACAGCCGCTGAAGAGTGTGTGTGCTTTGGGGGAAGAACAGCTCGTTTACCTTGCACTGATGCACTTTTGTTAGTAAGTGGAGAATTTGCAGATCAAACAAGCTTTGTCTCTGAACTGGCAGTGGGGCACGAAGTACACAGCCGTACCTTCTATCACCTTCTATCGCCAAGGCTGCCTCGCCCTGCAGGGACCCGCAGAGCTGGCGGGCAGGCTCAGGGCAATCAGCTCAAGTTCAGATGGATCCTTGTGGAAGTCATCACCCCTAACATTTGGTTGGTGTGGCTGGTGTGCCTGAACCATAGGCGGCATAAGTAGAACTTAGCGTGCTTTAGAATCATCCAGGGGATGCTGGTACAGTATTTAAAATGCAAAAATTAATTAATTAATTAATTAATTAATAAAATGCAGGCACATGAGCTGGATAAAAGAAAATTTAAAACTTTGATGATCTCATGACTAGTTTCTGACTAGTATGTTTGAGGGGTTTTTAGATCTTGGTCTGGCATCTCTCACCAATCCGTGCAATCCAGTAGGCAGCTGGTTTGTGCGTGACCAAACTAGCTTTCCTGTTGGCTTAAGTTTAAAAAAAAAAAAAAAAGACCATAAGCCTACCACAAGATGTTCCGACTCTGCATCCAGAAATCTAACCTACAGGATGTGGATTAGCCACTCTTTCAGAATCACCTTGCTATAGCTACCCTTTAACACGACCATGCGCTGAGCTCATGTGCTTAGAAAATTCTACCTCTTATTAATGCATAAATGCGGAGAGAATGATTTCTCGGTGTCCTTAGCACTTCAGTTACTCCCTAGCACAACCCAAGCTGTATGGTGTCATAAATTAAGCAAAAGAGATTGGAGAATGCAAAATAGTAAGCCCCTCCTGGAAGGTTGAATGCTCTCGTTGTTACCTGCAGACTCACCCGGCGTCCCCCCCAGCGCCAACGCACATCATCTGTTTAGAGGATTCAGTTTTGTCGCCTCTAGTCTGGTCCAGGAGCCCTCGCAACAAGATCTGCACAAAGCCACGGTCCATCCCATCGTGCAGGTAACCCCGTCCTGCACGGCTGCCCCCGCCTCCAGCAGGTGTGGGTGGGGAGATGCCTGCACCCGTGTCGCACGTGGACTGAGAGCCAGCCTGGGTGCTGAGGTGCTGGTGCCACGTGTACTTTCTGCCACCAACTCTTCCCAGTCTCCTGGGTGTTACCGAGTCCCAAGGTGATCTGAGCTGTGGCTCTCACCCCTGCGCCACAGTCATCCTAACAAAGGGAGAAGAGTTCTGATCAGAATGTCCCCGGGGTCAGCCTGTGGCTGGAGCCCTGCAGGGGTCATGGTATGGATAGGACTGGCACCCTAGGAGAGTGGTTCGGTTTGCAGGTGCCACTTCCCTGTTATGAAATGTGCTATTTGGGGGATCAATTCGGAGGATATTTTTTTAGAAGGAGTTTTCCACATTTTAAGTAACCAGATACAGAGAATTCTAAAAAGAAATTGTGATTACGTTTTATTTAAGGACAATGTCAGGGAAAATTAGAGAGCATTAGATTTCCCTATTTCTCTCTCCAGGGCCCTCTGGGAACTGACGATTTCCAATGGGGACACTTGCTGTGATGGTGTATACTGATATTAGTGGCTTTTTGTCTGTGCTCAGTACAGAGGGGGGAGGCTTGCGCATATGGGCAGACGTGGGCTGTGACTGCGACACCCCGGGGTGTGAGTTCCCATTAGATGTTGACACCCAGACACCACTCTGGCCTCAAGTGTCAGAACCACACACCCATTATCCACAGGGGCTTCTGTGCTCCTGACTCTGGATTCACATACTCTTCGATCCTTGGGGGGAAATGTGGCCGGTCAGCTGACACTGAGTATTGTGGTCTAAAAAGTTAAGCTCATACTGGAGAGATGAGGGCAGTGGGGATTTAGATCTGGAATCATTGCTGACCAGCAGCATGACCTTCACGATTCCATTAACCCCTGGCCTCAGTGACCTCGAATGACCATCTGGAACCTCCCTGGCTGCCCCTGTGTGCCTGTGGTTGTGTCTTTGCCTGAGAGAGTGCTGCCAGCAATCTCTGCCTTGGGTCTCTCTCTGCAGCAGCTACATGGAAACAACATCCACTTCACCGATGGCTATGAGATCAAAGAGGACATCGGGGTGGGCTCCTACTCCGTGTGCAAGCGCTGTGTGCACAAAGCTACTGAGGCAGAGTATGCCGTGAAGGTAAGACCGTGTGTGCACGTGGGCTTTGCTGTGGGTGGGCACCATGCACCACTGCCCTGCCCCCAGCTGGCATGGCTGAGCTGGCCAGCCTCGCCCCCTGCACCATCTCACGAGCCCTAACACTACACAGTTGGCTTTGCTTTGATATGAGGTCACCCATTCAAAACTTATTTTGCAAATCATAAATATTTTCAGTTTTTTTCAACATGTAAGTACTGACCAACTTTAGCACTTTTGTATACAGAATACCCTCAAATAAAAGCTTTGGGTGCCCAGGGTTTTGGAAAATACAACTGGGGTATGGGCACAGTGTTTGAGGGAGGAGGGGAGAGGAGGGGGGAGAGGAGGAAGCTACAGTCACCAAAAATTAAATCAAAGAAAGGAATAGAGGCATAAACTGGTAATATCTGGGCAAACTTAAGCAGAGGGCCGGTACTTTTACTCTCAACCATCGAGAAAAGTAAATAGTAAGAATTATCTAAGATTATCTAGAATCCGATCTCTACATATTACCTTTAGACCCTGTAATTGTTGCTAGATTTGGTATTTGATCTGGAAATCCCAAATACCAGTTTCTTGAGTTTTCTGGTTGGTGAAATGTGGATGAAAGCTAAAGCTTCCGGCTAAAAGCATAACCTAACTTATGTAAAAAGCATCCACCGTGCATTCTCTCCACAAGAGAGCCAGAGATGCTCTAACACCACTGCTTCCCCCACTGAACTGACCTCGAGACCCTGGAGACACCAGGTCCAGCCTGTGGTGTCATCATGACCAGACCTGAACGTGTCTGCAGCTCGTGGTACTGCACCTGGCCTACACCAAATAGGTGGGGACACACAGAACCTGTCCAGCAGGCAGTGGTGTAAAAGGAGCAATTCCTTCCATCGTGATTTTCCTAAGCTCAGAAGACATTGTTCGAAGTGTTGCCTACAGGGAGATGACCCCCCTTCCTTCGCAGGTAGCCCACACTCTGTGTTTCTTGCACTGAGAAAATATTCCACTCTGTCAAAAAAAAAGAAAGAAAAGAAAAAGACACCCGCCAAAAACAGGAAAAATAAAACAAAACAAAACAAAAAACCTAGGCCCTTTGGTCTAGTTTGGTTTGAAAATTGATGACTTTGACAATTGTATCTTGAGGGACACCTGGGTGGCTCAGTGATTGAACGTCTGCCTTTGGCTCAGGGCGTGATCCCAGATTCCCAAGATCGAGTCCCACATGGGGCTCCTTGCAGGGAGGCTGCTTCTCGTCCCTCTGCCTGTGTCTCTGCCTCTCTTTTTGTGTCTTTCATGAATAAATAAATAAAATCTTTAAAAAGAAGAAGAAGAAAAAAAACCTGTAAAAAAAAATGTATCTTGAATTCCTCAAGCAAGAAAGAATGTTTGAAATACGGGGGAACAGTTTGTGCATTGCACGGACAGACTCCTGGCACCCCACCTGCCCAGGAGCCCAGGAGTCAGGAGCACGTTACTGGGAGCCAAAGAAAGGAGTGCGGCACGATTCCCGGGAGCAGTGGGTCCAGAGTGCACACGTACCGCCGACAGGTCCCAGCGTCCTACAGCAGGTGCGGCATGGTGTCGCCAGCGGTCACCTCTGTGGCCCGGGCGTGTGCGGCTCCATGTATTTCCAAGCGTGGGGTGATGAGGAGTTTAATTTCTCCTCTTCCTTGGGAGAGTCCAGCGGAGTGTGTGCGTGGACGCCCCTGTTTCCCCGCTCAGGTGCAACTCCCGTGGGCAGGTGAGCCCAATGTGGGGCGTGCACCTGCACTCTGCCCTGGATGAGAGGATCTCATCCGTGCTTCAGAACCTACGTCACACATGCTCCACATGCCTGCGTGGGCTTCCAAGAATTTTTTCTGCCTGGGTCATTTCTCACAGAATTCCTTTAGGCAGCTTATCGGGTGACCGGCAGCAATCCCAGAAACAATCACCGCTTCCAGTGAGCACGAAGAAATGTATCTATTGTTCGGCTGGCTCAGTGACCACGATGCCCTTCTAGAAAACAGCCTGCCTCTGTGAGGCTTATCAGCTATGTTTTGTGCCTCTGAAAAGAAACCTCGCATTGACAGAGGCAGTGGTGTGTTTCCCCGTACTGTCCCCATATCCAGCTCTCCTATAAAAACACCGTCTGAATTCGGCTTTGTTTCATGTCTCTACCTTGGTCCCCGAGTCTCTCGTTGAGGCCACACCGTGCTGGGAACATCCGAGGCATCTCACCCCGGGGCCCATGAGCCAGATGCGTAGCTACAGCTTCGTGTAGCAGAAAGCCAGGTCCTGCTCCATCCTTTCCCTTGCTTTTTTTCCAAGCCTTGAAGTTCCCTGGACAAACTGAGCTGCTGGACCTTGCAGGATTCCCTCATCAGCACTGAGACCACAGTGGGTCATCTGGAAGGTGTTTAAATTCGCCAAACGCAGGCAGGAGCGTCAACCCTCCGCCGTACAGGCCCTGGGACCCAGAGCTGGGTCAGGAGCCCATGCGCGCTCCTGGTTGGAATCACAGCGTCATTGCTCTTAGTTTGGATCTCCTTCAAGGGCAAAGGAAGTGGCAGGAGTTTCAAGGCAAAGAGCTCCACATTCAGGATGGGCCCATTTGTTACCAAAATGTTTTCACATCCTGCAGATCGCTCCTCCGTCTCGTTTTCAGTATTTTCCGGGTAGAACATAATTGAAATAGTCTGTGGCCTCTTACTGGGTCAGCTGAGTGGTGGATGAGTAGCAGTGTCCCCACTGAGGGAGGAACTTAGCAGCAAAGCTGAGTAGGCCTCGCAACAGCGCAGTGCTGAGAGCGTGGCCTCTGATGCTTGGTGTGCAGTTGGACCTCAGCTCCGCAGACGTCCTGTTGAGCCTTGGCGGCCGAACTTGGGCCCTGGCATCCCGCCAGCACGTGAGCAGGGGCAGACCCAGCCATGCACGTTCTCGCGTGCACGGAAAAGGGTGTGTTTCATTTTGAGACACGGCCTAGTCAGAGCCAGTCGGGGCCCCCACACCCCACTGCATAGGGGATTCAGAAACCTCCCCTCTGCGTAATGAGCAGAAAAACGTACGACGTAATGAACAGCAACTTTGAAGAACAGTGGGATGCAGCCAGAGGGCAGGGGCTTCTGTCTGGGGCAGTTGTAATCGGTGGGGCTGGTTTTGCTCCCGACATCCTGGTTTTCACACTGGGATGGGAGGTGCCACCGGGGCCTGGTGGACAGAGGCCGGGGATGCTGCTTATAGCGTCCTACACCGGGCGGCTCCCTCCCACCGTCCTCCAGTTACCCAGCCATGATGTCATAGAGACCTTCAACCTAAAGCCTCCTTCGGGGATGTGGGGCGGATATCTCACGCAGATAAATTCCAGCAGACTGATATTTGGGAGATGAGGGTGGCCTGTCTGGCAGGCGTCGAGTAGCAGGGGGACAATCTGGAAGAGCTGTACTCAGGGGCAGGGCAGGACCCCTGGCGGACGGAGCAGGAACTGCCAGCGCTGCAGAGACCAGGCCTGCAGCCTCCAGCCAGGGAGCGCCGGCGGGATATGGTCGTTCTCACATTCCCGGAAATATCATCCTGTTTTGCTTTAAGCGTATTTTTCTGTCTTATAGGCGCCTAATTTTGCCACTGTAATTACTCTGTCATCACTTTAAATACATTTAAGGCCATATTTCAACCTCTCTACCCAAGTATATTCCCAGTCAACAAGATTGTTGGTTTTGCATTTATTCTCAGCTGTTTTTCTGTGCAGCTCTTAGAATGAGTGAGAGCAGGGGCACCTGGGTGGCTCCGTGGATGAGCATCTGCCTTTGGCTCGGGGCATGATCCCAGAGTCCTGGGATCGAGTCCCACATCGGGCTCCCTGCATGGAGCCTGCTTCTCCCTCTGCCTATGTCTCTGCCTCTCTCTGTGTGTCTCTCCTGAATGAAGAAAGAAATTAAAAAAAATAAAAAAGGATTAGTGAGGCCAGGTCTAGCAACCACTTAACAAAACCTTTAGCGCAGCATGCGCACAGTAGGGACTCAGTGCATGCTGGTTTGGAGTCTGAATCCGAGGCTCGGTCCCTCCCTCCCTGCCGAGATAGACAAGGCTGGATTGCCCAGCATCTCCCAGTGGGAGAGCCTGGCCTCAGGCGGTCAGGCAGGTGCTGCCCCTCATCCTGCTCGAGGGCACCACCTGGGGCTAACGCGTAGGACATCCCACCAGTGCACCCGCCTCATGCTGATGGAGCAGATGGGAAAATCCTTACATCCTCTCTTCCTCTCCTCTGTGTCAGGCACATTATGGGGGAACAGATGTGCCCCACTTTCTCAGCACCCGGGCTGTTTCCGTGGGGCACGCAGCTCAACAGTCCAATGCACGATCCAAGTTCACCTTCGCGTTCACAGCCAGCCCCAGAAAGCGAGGAGAGGAGATGCGCTTGTACAGGACTCTGAAATGACATGACACAAAACTGCACAGATGGCCGGGCACGAGTGCACCTTTCTTTTAATTTGAGGTTAACAGGGAATCACTTGTGATGTGCAGAAGGTAACTCGGATTGAGCCGCAGGTGAAGGGGAGAGGTTTATTTGAATCGAAAAAAAAAATCATTAGTGTTCTCTCATTCCATCAAAGGTGCTGTATGCACCTTACACAAATTGCTGAAGAGGGTCGCTGGTTTTTATGTTTTGGAGTCTTTGTGGCTCAGCATGATCTGGCTTGCGTTCTAGACAGCCTAGGAAGCCAATTTGTGTAAAAGGAAGGGCTCCTGGCCGTGTGTTGTGGGGAGAGCCATGGGAATATATCGGGGCTCATTCACTGTGGAGAAGCTGCCTTGCGTCCGTCAATGTCCCAACTTCTCAGGAGCCCACGTAGGTGCAACCGAGAGGGAGTTCCAGATGGTGTCTGCGAACAACTGGGGTGTGTACCGATTGCAGGACAAAGAACCAACACGCACACTCGAGGAACCGCTCCTGCCACCTGGATCCTCAGTTTCGAAATACAAACATCAGTCATGATGCAACACCTCAAGTTCGTGAGACCAAGAAC